GCTTTTAGACTTTAATTACATGTCTGAAAATCTGAGCACGGTTGGTGTATTATACATGCTAACTGATAAGAACAAGAAGTGACGATTCCATGGGTCTGATAACCTTAGACCAAAACCTCTCTGGCGAAGGACTGTGACTGGCTACAGGAATACAGGCAGATGCCTGCTCAAGGCAAAGCTCTACAGGGTCACCACACCTTTAGTCACATGACCACAAGACGGAATTAAGGAATTTCTGAGTTCTAAAAGACAGCCCAAATGGATAGATACAAAATCCACTAAGATACCCCATAATGCAACTGTTGAAGGTAGCTGGTTTTGCTTATCCTGAAAAATATCACTGAAGGAAAACTTTTGGATCTGGTATGAAAGGGCTTGGAAAAATCCCTGAGGTTTCAAAGACATAATACTCATGTATAATGTATATATTATGTATCATGAAGCTTATGTTAAATGGGTCTTTTACTGTTCCTAGTTTATATGACCTTGGACAAGCTCAATTCTGAGTTTCAATTTCCTTTGTAGATTCGGGAAAATGACAATTATTCTTACCTTTGCAGTTATTCTTAGGTTAAATTAAGGTCCTAAGAATAAACCCTGCATAAAAGGGAACTGTGGTTGGTATCAATGATGGTAAGGTACGTTAGTTTACACATCACTTGGGTCAAGAGACAACTAAATTCCACGAGTCACTTTTGCTGTTGCTTTGTGGCTGTGGAGAAGACCTACAGTATGAGGGCATGTCCACCATGGCGGGGAAGGCAGCAGGAGTGTGTGTTGGGACTCCACACCTCAGAGGTGGAGGAAACACAGTTGGGCAGGTTATGACCCTTGAGGTCTGCCCCCACTGCCCTATGTCTGCCAGGGAAGCCCCAAGTCCAAACTGTTCCACAGACTCCCAGCTGGGCCCAGGCATTAAACACAAACTATGGGACCACATTTCAGACCCAAATCATAACAGGATCCATACCCACCACGATGTAAGACATCCAACTCTGGAAATGCTAATGTGAGAATTCTGCCTCAGACTAGAGCCTAGTATTTTAATTACTATGAAAACATTTGGCCTAAACCACCTTAGGAGCTAGGATTTGAAATTTATTAATATGTCAACTTAATGCATTTTCATTATGCATTGAATCTGGTAGATACACATTTAGTGTTAAGATCTGTAAAATGATTTTTTTAAGGGACTCAAAGTTTTAGACTATCGTTTGTATTTCAACTAAAAAGAATACACATTAAAAGTCTTAATGCACATATTTTTCTAGACATGAAACCTTTTTACAACAAGCTAACTCTGCCAGTCACACATTTTATTCATTAATCTCGGAGATGATATACTTCATATAGAATAATAACCTATAGTCAAGTAGTTAAAACTGGCAGGAAGCTATGAAATTCTTATTTAACAGGAGGGGTCACTGGATCATAGGAACCTTTTAACAGGAAACTGCTGAAACATTAAAAAACACAGACCAGAATTCCGGAGATCGTGCTTCAGCTGTTCTCCTTATACCTGACAAGCAGAGGGACAGCAAGCAGCATATGACCAGCTGGCTGACTCCTTGCTCTTCAATATTACAGAGATTATTATCAATTTAGTCAGTTTCTGATGCTAATCCATGATTTTCTAGATATCTTAGGTGGAATCCTAAAACATGTTAATTCTTAACACCCATGCTGATGGAAAGCCATGTGTCACTGGACTGGACTGTCAGTAAGTCTGAGAAATACCCATAGCTTGAATGGAATGCCTGCTTTGGGTCTAACAAGAGCAAATGGGACCCAGAAGACATGTCCTCAACAGCGGCTCTATCACCAACTCCGGCTTTTCCTCACACTGTCTTACTAACAAAGTCGGCTTTACAGAGCTACTATGCAGTGATGACAGGTTAAACAATGCCTATGACATCATTCTGAAAAGGAAAACAAGGTTAAATAGACATGCTAAAATCTCACCAGACACATACAAGTCATCAGTGGGCTCACTGCTGTACAAACTTGGAGCCAAATAATTCAGAGCTCAACTTCTTAGCCAGAATGACTCCTAGTGCAGTAGCTAAGTGTGGATATGCATATGAATCTGTATTAGAGCTGGATTCTTGGTCAATGACTTAAAAGAAAAACAAAACCAAAAAAAATTGAACAAAAAACCATGGTGATAGGCATTAGCAAATCCAAGGTCCTGGCTTTTGGGTTCTAGCACCCACACCACCATCACCATCACCACCAACTCTTGTTCAGTTCTTTCTAAAAGGCATAGCAACACCATGTATACTATCTGGTAGAAGCCAACCAAAGGTTCTTGCCTGTGACAGGAACCAGAAACTGTATCTCTGAAAGATCTAATGGTGACAATGCATGGGCTTTAGGTCCTCAAAATTCTGTTCCAAGCACAGCACTGTCCCAAGGCAGGAGGTTCCAGCTTTTCAGAGTGACCTGAAACTCCCTCAACCTTTAAGAGCTCCAAACTGGAAGACAGGCTCAGCAAGGTCAGGTGTAGGTTAGAGCAGAGTACTCACCTAGCTGGCACGAGGCCCTGCCTTTAGTCTCTAAACTATTTACACACACAAACTCAGCCAGGGTTCTGAAGCCAAAGTAGTCCAGATCCTTTGCCTGCTCTCTGATATTTGCTGACATGGCTTTGTCTTTCTCATTTTTCACCAGTGTTCACCAAAACTACCATGAATGCATGAGACTACTGTAAAGGCAATCAGGGCCTTTTAGATCAGTTGACAGAGGACAAAGTAAATGACAACCATGAATAAATATTAAATGCGGAAAGACAGCAGCAGTGTTCTGATCACAGACCCCCCCCCCAAGCAACATAAGGAAATAAGTCTAACACATGTTCATACATAGGTGCACTATGGAGGTGGTGTTCAGGACGGCAATAAAAGAATTATACTATCGAGACTGCAGTCAGAACAGGATGGTAGCACGTACAGTCTAGACACTGAAGGAGATGCTGCAACAACCAAGTACATCACCATACCACCACTTTCAGTCCTCTTGCCAGGCAGCTTTTAGTAACCATTTTAAACATGCTCACATGCAGCAGAAATAGCGAATCGGAAAGCAGAAAGCAAGGGAGAGGTGAATAAATCCTCACTGGGAAACATTAAAAGCAAAGAAGCTGGACATTTTAAAGTGTTTGCTGAGGTATGAGCAGAGATGACTCCTGGCTGAAGGCTTCCTATGTCACGTTCTCAGAAGCAGCTGCCTTATACATGACCAGCATGAAGCTACAGTGGCTACTCATTTAGCCTGCTGGAGTACATGGAAACACAGTCACCATGGAGCAGGGAAGTCGGCTGGCTGTCTGCTTCAGGGCACTGTCCTTTGTTGATGAACTGCAGTGTTTGGTAATGAACTCAGGGTCTGCCCGGTATGTGACACGCTAGCATAATAATTCAATAATTTAAAGGGGATGAAAATAAACCATGGCTCAGTGTTCACTGACATTTATGGATGAAATCTTCTATAGAAGACCCAGGAAAATGATCCATAGATTGCTATGGGGTAGTAAGGCTTTTGAAAATTCAGATATTGGGAACAAAAGAATAGAAATTTGGGAAATTGATTTTAGAATTCACCAGATTTGAAAATATTGAACTGATATGATATCCCCCTCCATATACTTTTTATTTATTGAGATGAGGTTTTGCATGTAACTAAGGCTTGCCTTGAACTTGTAACCCCTCCTCCTCAGCCTCCTCTGTGCTGGGATGATGGGCGCCACAGCACTCAGCCTCACTGATAACTGTTTTGTTCTCATAATCTTGAATTTAAGATCTTTAAAGTAAAGTAAAGCAAGCCATATCTTTGCTTAAAGAGTCTATATAGTTTTAAATATGGCAGAACAAGCATTTAAAAAACGTGTCTAAGAAATACTGAGTTCTATCTGCAAAAGGAAGATAGATGAATGGATGGACAGACGGATGGACAGACAGGAAGGAAGGAAGGAAAGGAAGAAGGAGGAAGGAAGGAAAGGAAGAAGGAGGGAAGGAAGGAAGGAAGAAAAGTTCCTGGATAGTTTCTTGTTCAGAGAATTATTCTAAAATTTAAGTGAATAACTTGATTTGCAAATGCCATAAGGATGAACGAAATAATGTCAATTAAAAATTGCACATAGGGCCGGGCGGTGGTGGCGCACGCCTTTAATCCCAGCACTCGGGAGGCAGAGGCAGGAGGATCTCTGTGAGTTCGAGGCCGGGCTGGACCGACAGCCTCAAAAAACAATACAGAGAAACCCTGTCTCGTAAAAACCAAAAAAAAAAAAAAAAAATTGCACATAGTGTCTCAGTCACTTCTACTGTAACCAATGTATAATTTTTATTTTTTTGGTTTTTCAAGATAGGGTCTGTGTAGCCCTGGCTGTCCTGGAACTCACTCTGTAGACCAGGCTGATCTCAAATTTACAGATAATCGTCTGACTCTGCCTCCCGAGTGTTGGGATGAAAGGCATGTGCCACCATAGCCAGCTTTTTTTTTTTAAAGATACAATGTGGACCACAAATTACTTAAGTTAAAGGTAGACTACAACACAGCTAAGACTGTAATAAAAGAACAAAGAATAGAGAATTACACTAACCTTTCAGTATGCACCAATGGACATATCATTTCCACAGGTAACTAAGAAATTATTTTAAAAATGATTAGTCTTGGTGAATGATTTGGTTTTGCATCTCAGAATGTATAAAGTTATAAAAATCATAAAACAAGCAGTACTTCTATGCCATATGTTGTGGAGGGGTTTGCTCCAGGCTAGGCTAGCTCAAGCTAACAAAAACAGTATGCACTGCTATGGGTTCCACTAAGCAAGGTGCATGCTATTTTAACAGTCACGCCTGTTAGAAAGTTATCTCTTAATGGCTATGTTTGCACCACGACTAGTTTCTTCTTTCATTTCTATTATCTTTCTTATGCAATAAGAACATCAAGGAATTCCTTAGGTGAGTTCTTAAGGTTTAAAAGGGAAAACATAGGGAGTCAGGTTCAGTAGTGGTACAATTGTTTATTTAAAAAACAAACAAACAAACGAACAAACAAAAAAACCATGGCACACTTGCCTACTTATGCTTCTAAAACCAAACAGATGCTCTTCTAGTACCCAGAAACAACTCCAATAGTAACACACCTCGGCAAGCCAACAGCCAAGGGGGATGCAGGCCAGGACTGAGTTGGGTTTTTTAGGTTACTTCTGCAAGGACCCTTGTAGCTAATTTTGAGTCCTCAGGGAAATTCTTTCCCTGCACTGTGTTTGAGGAGTCCTGATCTAATGTGTTCTCCGGAACCCGTGTCCCAGTCCTCAGGGAGGCTGCTGAGTACTACACTGAAATGCTCAAGGTCTTCATTTTCAGGAACTGACTGGTGATGTGACGTCCATGGCCCAGGTGACAAAATCCTGTCCTCTCCCTCTTGCTTTCTTTTCTTTAATTTGTTCTCAAGTTCATCTTTACAGAACAGCCATTGTTCACACCATCTATGCAGATCAGGTGTGAAGATGCCATAGGGACATTCGTGCTTTACTGTGCTGGGATTTCATGGAACTTCCCTAATTGTAGTGCCGATTGGCACATTTTGCTTCTGTATTGAGAAAGAGAGATAGATAGATAGATAGATAGATAGATAGATAGATAGATAGAGAGCACAGACGCACAGCCATGTTTAATATTGTGAAATATGATCTGTCTGCTCCTCTCCCCACCCTCTGGAGCAGTGATAAATTTCAGAGCGCGCTCGGCAGAATTGGATTATATTATGCACAGTACACATGTTCATCACCAAAACCGTACACCCCAGAATGTATGCATGGAGAATGAATTGCTGATATGTCAAAATCCCAGTTCCTCAGAACTGATTTTATTAGCCAATGCATACCAAAAACGGGTGGTAAAGAAGTATCATTTCTGCAGTTTCTTTCGCCCTGAAGTCCTGTCCTATGAGACTGTGTTTTCCAGTCTCTGGGTCAAGCCTTGCTGGCTCTGTGCCGCTGCAGCACCAGAGAAACCGTTTTGCAGCCCGTCACCTCTTCTGGCAGACAGCCGTCTTGGTCTCGGAGAGTGGGGTCAGCGCCAGACTGGAGCAGCAGCTCCACAATGTCCAAAAACTCGCAGGCAGCAGCTGCAAGGGAAATTGAGAAACATGAAAATGAGGTTACAGGGGAATCACTCCTGTGCGGCAGGAACTACCAGGGCGAGCAGAACAGCACACACCCTTGTGGTGGCTGAGGATGACCCCGCCTTGCAGCGAGAACAGGTCTTAAGAAAATCAGATTTTTTTTCCTTGTATAGAAACATACAAGCATACTTGTAAAATTGTGAGGCTTTGATCTATTTGCAGGGATAAAATGAAAGCAAAGAATAAAAAACACAGTGGTTAAGTATTTTATGTTGATCTACATTTTCAAATAATGATAAGTGGGTAACCTATGTCAAAAGGCTAAAAGTATTGCATCAAAGAAAACATTCTGCTTTGTCTTTGAAGAGGAAGTATATGGATATAATTAAATTTACATAGAAAGAAACCCTGGTCTAGTAATTAGAACATCAATCACTATGTGAAATCTTGTGTGTGGGTTTGTATGTTCACATATATGGGCAGGTGTGCTCACCTGTGTGTGAGTGTGTGGAGATCAGAGGTCAGCATCAAGTGTCCTCCATTGCTCTCCACAGGGTCTCTGAGGATCTGGAGCTGACTGGCCAGCAAGCTCCTGGGATCTTGCTGTTTCCATCCCTCAGAACTGGGGTTACAGAGGCACAGCCTGACTTTTATGTGTGTGTGATGGGGCTCTGGACTCATCTCCTCATGCTTATGCAGCTAATATTTTACCCACTGAGTCATCTCCCCAGCCCCCCAAATCTTAAAAGGAGAGAAAGGGCACTAGGTCTAAGGCATAGAGACCAACAGATGTCCAGACTTGTGATGAAGATGGCATTGTTACTTCCCCAGGAAAGACAAACAGACCAAAGGGTTAGAGCAGAGAGCCATCTATCTATCTTCTGCATATATACTGCAGTCAGACTTATGCCAAAGTCAGTATTACAATTAAGGAGGTTCTAACAATTAGATGGCGTTGAGATGACTGGGTTGAAGGCAAAACAGGCATTTCACACAAAATGAAACAAACAGCAACAACACAGGAAAGGTGAGCAGCTTACACGTCACTACTCACATAAACAGAGATGAATACAGACTCAATGACAATGCTAGGCAGAGGAACCCTGCTAGAAGGAAGGCACCTTAAGTTTCCTGAGCATGTTCCACGGGCAGTCATTTTGGACAATAACTTGTCATTCAGGCTTTCCTTAAACCCCCTCCCCCAAAGATGTTTCTAGTGACTGTCAGAGATTTCTGCTTGTGTTTTCCAGCAGGTATTGGAAGACTGTACACATCAGCACCATTCCTAAGGGGCATCAAATGCAGAGATCAGAGGGCTCAAATGTTCATGACCAGTAATGTGCAGAAACAGAACACTTCGTCGGGAAGTGAAATCCCACACAACAGTAAAAACTAAGGAACTCCAACTTCACACAACATGGGTTTATCTCAAACACAGAATGTCGAAGAATAATAATTTTAAAAAAGACAAATCAGAACACAATTTACCAGGATTCTATCTAAGGAAACACTTAAAAAACGGACAAAATTAAACATTATTGCTTAGACATACAGATACATAGTGGAAACTATAAAAGAAAACATTCACATAAAATTTGTAATAAAAATGGGCACACACCTATAACCTAGCATCTGAGAGGCAGAGGCAGGAGGGTTATGATAAACTCAAGTCCAACCTGGCCTACATAGTACATTCTGGGCCAGCTGGAACTATACAGTGAGACCCTGTTGCAACAAAACAAAACTACAGTAGTGGTAATTACCACAGTTACTGGGGGCACGAAAAGAAGGACGTGACTGGCACACACGAGGGCTCATGGATGGCACTGCAATGTCCTAGTTCTCAAGTTAGGGAGCAGAGACATTTCTAAAGCGGCGATTTGCCATGCTCACACATTTTGCAGGGGTTTTGTGGTATAATGCATCCTGCAACAACAGAATGCCTCCCAAGGAAAGGCACAGACGACTATGGAGGCTGATCCCAGGGCTGTTGCTGTGAGCCAATACTGCAGCAGTCTTGTCAAGGATACAGTTGAGATTCCGCTTTGAGAACTTCTTATAAACAAACAACTCTAGTCAAAAAGAGTAAGTGTTGTGGCAGATACACAGCACTACGGCAGAGGGGGAGGAAACGGAGGAAAGCAATTGGCCTCTTGACACTGCAGATGGCTTTAGCTTGCTAATTCCCTACGTTGCAGTTTAAAAAAAGAGTCTCACCACATAGCTCTGGCTAACCTGGAACTCATTATGTACACAGGCTGGTCTTGAACTCATAGAGAAAGGGATACACAACCAGGATTTCTATTTTGTTATTTTAGTCACAACAGAAGAGTGAATTTTGTTAACAGCCCTTTCTACCTATGTTAGATGTTCACAGGCTTTGTCTGATCACTATGATACAATGATCTCAAACTGTCAAACCAATCTTGCATGCCTAGGTAATGCTTATTTGACCATGGTTTATTGTTTCATGTGTATTTGGCTGTGTTCTACTTGCTAATAATCTTGTGAAGTGTTTTCTATTTTCTGAAACAGTTTGTGTGCAGAACTGGTATTATTTTATGCATAAACATCTGCAGAAGTTAACATCAGAAGCAATGGAAGCCTGGATTTTATTGAGGGTGTTTTAAGCTACCAAACCAGTTTCTTTAATGGCTGTAGGACCACAGAAATTTCTTTTCCTTCCTTCCTTCCTTCCTTCCTTCCTTCCTTCCTTCCTTCCTTCCTTCCTTCCTTCCTTCCTTCCTTCCTTCCTTTCTTGGAGAAAGAGAACTTTGATAATACCTTCTAAGAACTCTTTCCATTTCATATGGGCTCTCTAATTATTGGTTGGAAGTTGTTCATAATGTTTCCTTGTTTGCTTTGCAATACAATATAAGGTCATTGTCTCATTCTTGATTTTTTTCTTGCACATGTGTGGTGTGTATGTACTGTCTCGTGTGTGTGTGTGTGTGTGTGTGTGTGTGTGTGTGTGTGTGTGTGTGTGTGTGTACCACCCTGCTCCATTGGTAGTAATAATGAAAGGGCCTGACTATCTTCACTCCCAGGCTGGTGACTCCAGCTTACAGCTTTCTGATTTTATGCTATGAAGTAGGAAAGAGCTGCTGAACAAAAGGTTATAAACTGGGGTAGCGCTGGTGCCTTTTTATATTTTTGGTTGTGAGCTTTGCCTTTTTATGGCTGAGCCATCTCTCCAGGCCTCTGATGGTTTTTTACTTCCCATCCTGATTACTTGGTCACCAAACTCTTGTCCATAGACAGAGAGAACCTGGCTCTAAGAGAACCAGAGTGGAGGATGGGCATTTCCTGAGGTAAAATAAGACCTCTTGGGAACCCTATCTCTGCCCTCAGTGGTGTGGGATCTCTTCCAAATGAAGGCAGCATCTGATGAATGAATGGATGGAGACAGGGAGTATGTTCCATGCCTAGAAAAACTGCTGCTTGGTGTATGTGTGGATCCTGAGACACGAGGGGTATTCCTGAGGAACTGCACCGATAGGGAGGAAGGCAGAGACGGGGCTATTTGCCAAGGCCCAAGATCACACAAAGTGTTTAAAATCAGAACACTCCTTTTGGAATCTCCCCGCACCATTCTGTTTTGCCATTCTGGGACCTCATGCATTCTAAGCATGTATTCTACCACTGAGCCATATGACCAGGCCACCAACTGACACTGAGAATTTAAAACTGCCCCCTCAAATAATCTCAATCAACATTTTTACTCTGAATTTCTGGAGCTTAATCACAAATAACTGTATACCCACGTAGATTGAAATGCAGACAGTCTCATAGGATAGAAGCAAGCTAAAGATTCACTGGGCTCAAGTAGCTGGGAGGACACATGCTGAAACCTACTCACAGAACATATGCAGCAAAACAACAGCCACTCAGTAGGGGCTTCACCAGCAGCAGCCTCAAACCCTGGGAGGAGCACTCGGTTAGCTCCTCACAGTGGGATCTTTTTAATGTTGTCTGTCACAAACTCCATATATAAACGGGCAGGGTAATTCAGGATAGCCATTGTGATCTAACACTTCTTCTAATCCAACCCTTAAGCAGGAGGATGAGGCTATGTGTGCTGAAGATACAGAGTGTTGCCTCTCAGGCAAAGTGGTAGTTTCATATGTGCCGTACCACGAAGCAAGCTTTCCAGTAGTGAAGTATGGTAGTCTCAGGTTCAACTCAGGAGCAGTCTTAAGAATTTAATTCCATGGCCACCCAACTAAGGAAACAGCACTTACGTTGTCTAACAGTCCCCTAGCATGACACAGTGAAGGGAAGAGAGTGAGGTTTAACTGACAATATTTCAGAGCAGGGGTGTACAGCATATACATATAAAGAGTTTTATTAAAAAGCACCTGAGGGCCGGGCGGGGGTGGTGCACGCCTTTAATCCCAGCACTCGGGAGGCAGAGGCAGGCAGATATCTGTGAGTTCGAGGCAGGGCTGGACCGACAGCCTCCAAAACAATACAGAGAAACCCTGTCTCGTAAAAAACCAAAAAAACAAATAAAAAGCACCTGAGGTTCATACCAAGACAGACCCACATGGAAGCACAAACAAGCAGGGTGTCCTAGCAGAAAGAAAGAAACAGACTGATTAAAATGAGGGGATCTTGTCTATAAAGCTGCACAAGTGGGTTTTATGCTGATCAGAAGAGGGTTTATGGGGGGCATGCTGGGGGAGACTGGCTCCAGCAGGTGCCCAACACATTGCTGGGTCTCCAATCACATGCTTGCTTCTTTTCATGTCCTCTCCCGGGCATGATAGTTATTTGTTTGTTTGTTTATCTGTGTCCTTTTCATCCAGCGTAGAATTTGCTCAGAATTCATTCCCCTGCCTTTGGCATCTTTAGTGAGTCACAGGTCACAAGCCAGAATGTGTGATCTTCTCATTCTCTCAAAACAAAGGCAAAGAAGACAGAAAGTAAAGAAGAGAAGAACGGAGAGGGGAACCGCTGCTAACTTTCACCAAATTAGCGAGGGCAACATCAGTGCCCACAAT